GATAGTGTAAGGCAGAGAAGGCAGTGGGAAGAGTCTTTGTCTTGTTCGTTATTCTATCCCATATGCTAAGCATGCAACAGGTACTCAGTTAATGTTTCTCAGGTAACAGAGTAAATGAACCAGGCATATGTAGTATATATTGTTGTATACTGTACTCTGGGTATAAGTTCTTCTAATTCCATACACTTCTAATCACAGTAACCATGGCACTACCCCTTGATGCTAATTATTTTCTCTTTCTCTGAGAGAGTAAATGGAAGCTATTATGCGGAGTCTACAAGAAGGTGGGCCTTATGTTCCCCAAGTGTGGCACTAATTAAAGGTCAAATGCTACCATCTGGTACATGGCATCGAGTCTACTAAATAGAGTTCCTCTCCACAGAGAAAGACAAGAACATAGTTGTTGGGACATCCCAAGGAGGCCATGGACACAGAAACTCTGCTCAACCCCAACACTTAGATATCAACAAACATGATCAGCCCTGGGACTAGTGGGAGGCGTAAGACAAAACAAATCTCACTCAGGTTCAAAGGGGCTTCCAAAATTGAGGTCCAGAGGGGTGATATCCCTGAGGCAAATGGTCATATACATCTGGACCTGGTCTCTTCCCTCCCAGCCTATTTTAATTCCACATCATCCTATTTTAGTTCCATACAATCTTCCCTCTTTCTTAGAAACACTCACAAAAAATAGAAAAGAGGATTTGGCTAATATTTCACACTTCCATAGCCAAAAGCAGCAGCAGCAACTCCTTTTCCAGGGAGGAGGAGGTGGAATCGGGTCTGACCACTGTGGGCATCTCTAGCAAAGACTTTTTCACTTATGCTTCTTTTTAAAACCACTCTGTTAATAAGAGCTGTAAGCCAAAGTAGAGCGTGAAAAGAAAAGAACACAGACAGAAGCCATGGATCAGTCTGGCCATGCAAAGTTTGAAGGATTTTTGAGTTCTTCTTTTGGTTGGCAATACATCCCCATTATTTCTTAGTCACCAGAGATTATTTTACCATGAGTGTTAGTCTGTACCTGTGTCCCAAGCACATTGCTTTTTGGTGTTGCCTGATGGTTACCTACTTCCATCAGGAAGGAGACTTCCTTCATGGTCATGGTTATGAACAGATAATTAGGCTCTGGGGACTTGTGCATAAGCGCTGGAATAACATAGACATCTCCAAAGAATCACAGACCCCCATGTAGCGGGCTGCAAAATTGTACTTGTTCTATGAATAATCCTCCCTAAGAACCCACCGTAAGCTGTGGACCCTTGAGGGCAAATGGGATGTTCTCTTGACCAGGGAGACGGAATTAGCAAGTGAATTCCCTGAGCCAGTCACTGCCACTGCCATAAAAGCTACAGCACTGGGTGGA